GAATCATGTTAGTTCACAGACGCATTCATGATGTCGCACATATGCAGGGGGGCACCCACTGATGGTCACCCCAAGAGTGAATAGAACTCCGGCTTGTCACCCATCTGCGGCTGTACAAAGCAAAGGGTTTTGGGTTTCTTTTGAGGGGAGTAAGTTATGGGAAGGCAGCTGGAAAACAGTGGTGAACACGAGCATGCTTCGTAGGAGTGTGCATAGTTCATTTCTACATCTGCTTGTGACGTCCTTCAGGTTGGTTTTGGCTCCTGGGGCTGCAGAGTCCATGACAGTGTGTCCTGGTGCAGTGCTTATGGGTTTGTGTTTAACTGGGAGCAGCAGTGTGGGTCTGTGTGTAGGGACTTCGCTGAGGCCAGATTGTTTTAGCAGTGGTTGCATGCCCATCACTGGTTGCATGTACCAGGCTTTCCATTGCTCCACATCCCGCTGATATTTGATACCGTGTTTTTAATGTCTGCCAGTCTGGTAGGTCTACGCATAATTTTTTGTTATGGTTTTAATTCCCTGGGTTATTAGTAAAGTGTGCATCTTGTTGCATTCATGGACTATTTACTGTTTTTTTTTTTAAATATAAATTTTATTTATTTATTTATTTTTGGCTGAGTTAGGTCTTCGTTGCTGCGCCCAGGCCCTCTCTAGTTGCGGCGAGCGGGGGCTACTCTTCGCTTTGCATTACGTGGGCTTCTCATTGCAGTGGCCTCTCTTGTTGCGGAGCACGGGCTTTTGGCACGCGGGCTTCAGTAGTTGTGGCATGTGGGCTCAGTAGTTGTGGCTCGCAGGCTCTAGAGTGCAGGCGTCAGTAGCCATGGCGCATGGGCTTAGTTGCTCCACGGCATGTGGGATCTTCCCGGACCAGGGCTCGAACCCGTGTCCCCTGCATTGGCAGGCGGATTCCCAACGACTGCGCCACCAGGGAAGCCCTGTTTTTTTATTTTTTTAAGTTTTAAAAATTGTGGTCAAATGCACATAACATAAAATTTACCATCTTAACCATTTTTAAATGCACATTTCAGGGAAGTAATTCACACTGCTGTGCAACCACGACTGCCGTCTACCTCCAGAACTTTTTAATCTTGCAAAACTGAAACTGTCCCCATTAAACACTGACTCCCCATTCCCCCTCCCTCAGCCCCTGGCACCCACCATCCTACTTTCTGTCTCTGTGGACCTGACTGTTCTAGGGGCCTTGTGTGAGTGGATCAAACATTATTTGTTCTTTTGTGTCTGGCTTATGTCACTGAGAATAATGCTGTCAAGGTTCATCCATGCTGTAGCCTGTGTCAGAATTGCCTTCCTTTTTAGGCTGAATAACATTCCATGGAATGGATGGACCGTGTTTTGCTTCTCCATTCATCCCTCAAAGGACACATGTAATACCTACATTAATTTCTCATGTCTTATAATATTTGTGGAATAACTTCAGAAAGTCCTATGAATCAAAAATCATTTACCGTTAACTTTTTTTTTTTTTTTTTTTTGCGGTACGCGGGCCTCTCACTGTGTGGCCTCTCCCGTTGCGGGGCACAGGCTCTAGACGTGCAGGCTCAGCGGCCGTGGCTCATGGGCCCAGCGGCTCCGCGGCATGTGGGACCTTCCCGGACCAGGGCACAAACCCGTGTCCCCTGCATCGGCAGGCGGACTCTCAACCACTGCGCCACCAGGGAAGCCCAGCATGAAAGTTTGAAAAACAATTAAAATAGCACAGGACCGAAGTTAAAACAGGAGGGGACTGACTTCTTGGGACAAGTGTTGGGAGAGGAGACGGACCCTACACTTCTTTCTACAGCCCTAGGAGGTCCTGCGGACCCGGCTTGTTCACACATTGGGGGTCCACCCAACACAGCCATGGTGTCCTGACCGAGGTGGATGTGTGACCCTGGGTGCAGGGTCTGGGAAGGTGGGGTCACTCTCGTGTGTGGATGTGTGACCCCAGGTGTGGGGTCTTGGATGGTGGGGTAACCCTGGTGAGTGTGGATGTGTGACCCCAGGTGAGGGTCTGGGGCTTGTGTGGGTCTCACCCCATCTACATGGGTCAGGTTCACATGTAGGGGGAGACGCCATATCTGCTCTTTGCCTGCAGTGTGTCTTGTCCCCTCTGAGATTTCCAACATCTGAATTGAGGGTGTTGCTCTGATTAACCTGTGGTCCCTTTTCTTCTCTTAATCTTGCCATGTTCATATGAGGACAGGCACCTGTGAGCCGGTTGCTGCTCTGTGTTCTGCTGAGTGATCAGTAACCCTTGGTGGTATCATATTAATATCACAGCATATCATATAGCATATCTAATCCATGGGGGTCACACTGTCTGGGTTCCCCTGGACAGAGCTCAGGTAGCACAGATGAGCCCCCCTAAGAATGGTCCGTCACGTGCCATGGGAGGGTACCATGATGGCCCCCGAGGTGGGGGATGGTGCTTGGGCCTCACACATTTGTGATAGGGGAGTTGAATTGGAATCTCAATTAACAAGACATCATTTAAAAAATTTATTTTATTTTTAAGTGAACTAAAATACACATCAGGGACTTCCCTGGTGGCACAGTGGTTGAGACTCCATGCTCCCAATGCAGGGGGCCCGGATTTGATCCCTGGTCAGGGAACTAGATCCCACAAGCATGCTGCAACTAAGGAGCCACAAGCCACAACTAAGGAGCCCGCCTGCCACAACTAAGACCCAGCACAACCTAATTAATTAATTAATTTAAAAAAACATACAAAGAACTTTTAAAGGTCAAGAATCAGGAAAAAATAAAACACACATCACATACCCTTTACCATCGTCACCATTCTAAGGGCACGTTTCTGAGGCATCAGGTGCATTCACCTTGTCGTGGGGCCATCACACCATCCCTAGAACTTTTCATCTTGTAAAACCAAAATCCCATAACCACGAAAGTCTCACCCCGCACCCCCTCGCACAGCCCTGGCACTGACGTCCACTTTGGTCCATGAGTTGTCGACTCCAAGGCACCTGTTTGAGTGCAATCCTGCAGTTTGCTGTGAAGAGGTCAGGTTTGGAAGAGCTGACTTTCAGTCTGAAGCTCTGCCTGTTTGCATCTGAAGAACCTGCATTTCGGGAGAGGGTGTACAAGGGACAGCGCACCTGGGGGTGCAGATGAGCCAGGACCTGACCAGCTGCCTGTGGTGCCTTCTGGTCCCAGGCTGCCCTTCTGTGTCATCCCTGTCCCTGCTGGCGCCCCTAGGATGCTGGTGTCTGAGTGAGATTCCTCTGGTGCCCCTGCTCCCCTCCCCTCTTCCTGCCGGTTGGGGAGGGGGCTGCTTGTTAGGTGGTCTCTGCTCCTGCGGCAAGAGGGACCCTGCAGGGCCGACCCGCAGAGTGTGGGGTGTGATCCCAAGAGCATGGGGCCCTCACAGAACACAGCGTCGAGGTCGTGACAGGTGCTCAGGCTGCCTCATCACTGACATGGGGTGTTCCCGAGACCCCGCTCAGGAGGGAGTAGTGGGTGGTCTGGGACCCCAGAGGCCCAGTTCCTATTCTGGAGCTGAGTACGTCCACCTTAGGCTCCAGATTTACCCCGAGCCTCAGCCATCTCCCTATGTCCTGCCTTTGAATGCAGGAAAATGACTTCTACTGATCATTTTCCACAACATAGGCCTGGTCCTGTCAATATTGGCGTTCTTTAATTTAGGCGTCCTGGGATAGCTTTATAGGCCTAAAGAAGGAACAACTCATGAGTGTAAAACATTTTCAGATGAAACTAATATTCGATGACTATCTCTTAGTCATCTTAGTTGAGATGACTCAGCTCTTAGTTGAGTTCTCTTAGTCATAATTCTGGTTTTAGATCTGATGTGGGGATTATAGAGGAGTCAAAAATATTTATTTTATTTATTTATTTTTTGCTGTACATGGGCCTCTCACTGCTGTGGCATCCCCCGCCGCGGAGCACAGGCTCCGGACGTGCAGGCCCAGCGGCCATGGCTCACAGGCCCAGCCGCTCCGCGGCATGTGGGATCCTCCCATACCGGGGCACAAACCCGCGTCCCCTGCATGGGCAAGCGGACTCTCAACCACTGCACCACCAGGGAAGCCCTAACTTTTTAAAATTTTATTTTTATGGCTGTGTTGCGTCTTTGTTGCTGTGCGCGGACTTTCTCTAGTTGTGGAGAGCGGGAGCTACTCTTCGTTGCGGTGCACAGGCTTCTCATTGTGGTGGCTTCTCGTTGCAGAGCATGGGCTCTAGGCATGGGGGCTTCAGTAGTTGCAGCATGTGGGCTCAGTAGTTGTGGTGCACAGGCTTAGCTGCTCTGCAGCTTGTGGTATCTTCCCAGACCAGGGATCAAATCCGCGTCCCCTGAATTGGCAGGTGGATTCTTAACCACTGCGCCACCAGGGAAGTCCTGAGGAGTCTAAATTTAAATCTTCATAATCTGTGTATTTGTAGCTTCAGTATCATTCATGACTTGTAGATTTTATGTTAGGGAAGAGTTATTGATTTCACGTATCACGTAAAGGATTCGTAATGATGATAAGGCAGTTAAGATTAGAATGGTGGCTGGTAAATGGTTATCTCTACTTGTGCATCTAGTGTACGTGTATGAGTCAGTTTAGTTGTCAATATTAGTAAAATCATATAGAGGACTAGAGAACTTATCCAGAAACTGATTATTAACATGTGATCATGAAGATGTAAAAGTTCTTCCATAATAGGTGATGTTGCATCCTGAGAGCCTAGATGAAATGGATATGCCATAGTGTTACACAGGATTTTTGCCTATGACTTAACTTTTACAACGTTATGTAATTTATTTTAATGGTATTTCACTTATTGAGAAAGACATAATGGTTGTGGTATTGGCTTGACACCAGTTGACAAGGATTCAATTCCTTCCTTCCTTATTGTATTTTATTTTTAAAAACTTTGTTTCTAAAAAAAAAACAGCAAAAAAAACCCTTTCTTTCTTCCTTCCTTCCTTTCTTTCCCACACTGCACGACTTGTAGGATCTTAGTTCCCCAACCAGGGATTGAACCTGGGCCCCAGCAGTGAAAGCACTGAGTCCTAACCACTGCACTGCCAGGGAATTCCCTCTCCTTCTCTGATTTACAAAACCAGGGTAATAAATAGACTGCAAAGAGTCTTTTTTTTCTTTTGGCTGCACCATGTGGCTTGCGGGATCTCAGCTCCCTGACCAGGGATTGAACCCTGGGCCACAGCAGTGAAAGCTGGGACTCCTAACCACTAGGCCACCAGGAAACTCCCCAAAGAGTTTTCTTTTTAGGAGACTGTTTTCAATAATGCTTGTTATTGGTGTAAGGACAAGAATTAAAAGAAAGTATAGAATAGATGCTAGTTCGGGTTTGTATAGCCAAAGAACGAAACCGAAGCTGAGATTGACGCAGCTCAAGTTTTATTCTGTGGCCAAGGAATGGAGAAGTGGGAACTTAGTTCACAGATCACCTTGCCCATGTGGTGAGAGGGATTTGATTTTAAAGAGTAAAGACAAAGGCAGGAGGAGTGAGGCTAATGATGGGGAGCACATGCATTAGTCTAGGGAAGGGGCAGCACTTCCCTGGAAAGGGGAGCCACACCCTTTTTATCCTTTCTTGGTCCATATCTTCCAGTTAGGGCCACCAGTAGGTGTGTCATCTAGTAGCCAATGTAGTAAACTCAGCAGAATGAGACTGAGGGTCTGTCGGAGGTCAGATTCGTTGCCACCTTTGTTCCAGCTGGTTCTATCTGGTGTTTATCTCTTCCTATAGCTTCCTTCTTCTGTCTCCAGACCCTGTGACTTAAAGATACATGTTAATTCCTGTTCAAGCAGGGATTGGTGGGTTTTGAGCAAAGAACTGGCACAGCTCTGACAACAAAATCCCCCCTTTTCTGTTACTGCTCCTCATTCTTGAGGGGTGCTGAAGGGCAATGCTCTGCCTTCTGAAGCTGCTTCCTTCTGAACATGGGCATAGTTTTCCCCTGGATTAGAGGAGCAGAACTGTTCCCTGTGTTGCCTAAAATATGTCTGGTGGTCACCAGGCTGTAGTCCCAGTTGCTTGTACCCTTGTGTTTGTGTCATCTGAAGTTTGCTGGCTTCAAGCCCTTTGCTAACGAAGTTGACAAGGCAGTTAAGGAGGCAAGGCCCGAAGATGAACAGGAGGTTGATAGCAGTTAGTGGGCCAGGAAATGAAGGAAACCAGGTTAAGCTAGGGAGGCTCTGTTTGACGGTATTCCAGATGGAGCTTGGATCTGGACTTTGTGTGTTTATCTGTGTTACCACTGAGCTTGCTCATATATCTCTCTTATGTTGACCTCAATCTGACCAGAGTTATTGAGATACATGCAGCAGGTTTCATTCATAACTGCATAGACTCCCCTTGCTCAGCCAGGAGGTCGTCAAGGGCTTGCCTATTGTTAAGAACAACATTTGCTAGTGAGTCCAGAGAAGTACAGAGTCCTTGTAAGGCATCCCCTGTATTTTTAGACAAGTCCTCAAGGGCCCCTGTGAGATTTTGTAGCGTGATTTCGTGGTATGCGAAACCTCCTCAGGAGGCCGCCAGTCCAAGAGCAATCCCTACTCCTGCCAGAGTGAGTTCTATTGCCCTTGTATCTGGGGGCTGGGTGACATTATGAATGGTTATACCTAGGTTCCTCGAACTTAGCTGGCCTAGCATGCATTGTGCACAAATTGGGCATTATCTAAGCAAGGGCAGGCTAGAGCCCACCCTGGAAAAGGGAAGGCGTTGGGGTTGTTCTGATGCGGCAGCTGGTTTACTCTCGGGCCACAAAGGAACAGGTACCCAGGGGGCGTGCATGCCTGGTGCACCTCTGAGGAACTGAACCACCTCTGTAAGTGGGTAGCCCAAGAGGGGGTGCCCTTGCAGTGTGGGGAGAGAAGCCCACCTGCATAGCAGGGGTCACTGGGGGATTCTGGACCTAATGGCTTTTCCCCAGACCTCAGGAGGGCCACTTACTAAACCCCAGACAACTGGTGTCTTCCCTCCCCAGTAAATACATCTCCCATCTGGTCCCTGTGTGTATTCATTGAGTCAGTGCAGAGGGCACCAATGGGTGAGATTTCCATAGGAGTCAGTCCCGGGGCACTTAAATTGTGGGGTAATGGAAGAAGCAGTGATCAGAGTCCAGAGCAGCCCCCGGTGTTATCGCAAGTCCCTCCCTTTGGTAAGGGCTGCTGACGGGCAGTGGCAGCGAGACACAGACTGGTTAGAGTGATGGCACTTTAGAGTGAGGGCTTTGTATTTGTTAGAGATGTTAGTGCAAGGGGTGAGGTCCAAGCAGGGAAGCTGCATTATGGATGGGATACGAACTTCAAGTGGGGAAGGTTCAGCAGACTCGTTAGCCAAGGTGAGAGTGAGGCTGTCATTCTTAGGGGTAAAATGTAATACCTTTAATCCATAGGCATCACTTTGTGGTTGGGGGTGACAGACCAGCACTGGGATAGACTTTGTCCACGGGCTATAATCCGTGAGAAATTTACTATTGCACTGAGTTCCCATTCCATGTGGACAGTTGTAAGAGAGCAGAGAAGATAAGAAAAAATAGACAATAATGGCTACTCATCCTGCTTCCAACGTTAATGTCCCTGATATCCAGCATGGACAGAGGAGATTTCTGCCAGAGGGAGGGAGTTTGGCAGAACAGCAGGAGCCAAGTAAGGCAATAGCAATGACAAGGCCAACTACTAAGCCTGCCCACCGCATTACTTATCTATTGGTAAGTTAGGCCTTTTGAAAAGTAACTTAAGGTCTGTGACAGGTTCATAGGCGCTTTGAGTGGATGGCTCAGTAACTTCTTCCTTCGGTGTAGGTGCTGTTTTCACTCTGGTATGGTGGGCCCATGGAGTTATACCCTGTAACTGTAAAGCAGAATAAGTAGTCCAGATTACTAGATAAGGTCCTGTCCACTTGGGGTCTAACTGGTCTTGTGGATTTCCAGCCTTCCAGGTTTTCAAATAAATCAATTTTCAGGGGAGAAAGGATGTAAAACCCTGTCTAAAGGGGAAGGCAGTTCCGGATTCCCGTAGGCATGTAAAGCTTTGATTATTTCCCCTGTCTGTAAGGTATATTTCTGCCGGTCCATATCCTTAAGATTGGTCTTGGAGCCGGGTCCTTCAGGAATGGGCCTCATGTACATGGGCTCATATGGACTTAACCTGAGCTTTCCTTTAGGGGCTATTCGCAGTCTCAAAAGTGCTGTGGGGAGAAGGGAGATCCAGGGTTGATGACTGTCTTGACATGGTTTGGCTAAGTTTCTTTTGAGGGTTTGATTTATTCTGCTTTTCTTTTTTTTTTTTTTTTAAGATGCTGGGGGTAGGAGTTTATTAATTTATTATTTTTGCTGTGTTGGGTCTTTGTCTCTGTGCGAGGGCCCTCCCAAGTTGTGGCAAGTGGGGGCCACTCTTCATCGTGGTGCGCAGGCCTCTCACTATCGCAGCCTCACCCATTGAAGACGCGCAGGCTCAGTAGCTGTGGCCCACGGGCCCAGCCGCTCTGTGGCATGTGGGACCCTCCCAGACCAGGGCTCGAACCCGTGTCCCTTGCATTAGCAGGCAGACTCCCAACCACTGTGCCACCAGGGAAGACCTATTCTGCTTTTCTTGAGGATTGTCATCTCCAAGTGGAGTGTAAACCCCATTTAATTCCTAGAGCTCTAGCGACTCCCTTAGTCATTTGGGAAACAAAGGCAGGCCCACTGTCATTCTGGATGGACTTAGGGAGCCCAAACTGAGGGATTATTTCCTTGAACAGGGCCTTAGAGACCTCCCAGGCAATCTCAGTTCAGGTGGGGAATGCTTCCATCCAGCCGGAGAAGGTGTCAGTCAAAACCAGCAAGTATCTAAAACTTCCTTGTGTCCAGGGCGTTACTGTAAAATCAGGTTGCCAGTCTTGACCTGGATATGTGCCTCTATGCTGGGTGGGGGTCACTCCCTTGACCTTGGTTGGGGGTTTGTGTTGGCCTTATTCTGGAGGCAGATAGGGCAAGCTTCAACCACCTGTTTAAGGAGACTACGGAAATTGGGGGCAGTCATGGATTTGATGAGCCATTAAAAAATATATATATTTATTTGGCTGTGCTGGGACTTAGTTGTGGCACGTGGGATCTTCTTTGCAACGTGCAGGATCTTTAGCTGCAGCATGAGAACTCTTAGTTGCAGCATGTGGGATCTAGTTCCCTGACAGGGATCAAACCCAGGCCCCCTGCACTGGGAGCACAGAGTCTTAGCCAGTGGCCCACCAGGGAAATCCCTGATGAGCCGTTGATATAGGGCCTCCTGCTCATAATGTGTCCTCTGGTGAGCTTCCAGGATGGCCTGCAGTGCAGTGGCTGATGAGGAACAGCTGCCCATGACTGTTAATCATCCACCTTGGGTATTCTGGGCTTTTCAGTGGTAAGGTTTTTGTCTCAGAGATAAATTGTAGCTCCCAATTTGTATAGTAAGTCTTTTCCTATTAGGGGAATTGGGCATTCTGGTACATATAAGAGTGAGATAACATTCTCCCTTTCAAATCGCACTCAAGGGGCTCTATAAAATTATGTTCCTGTGGCTTCCCTTCCACTCCCATTATCTTACATTTATCCTTGGTCATTCTGCCTTGTCGGGTGTTCAAGACTGAGTAGATGGCCCCTGTGTCGACTAGAAAGTGAACTAGAAAGTGTGTTTTACCCCCACAGTCAGGGTCAGCCAAGGCTTCTCCAAGGAGCCCCTGGGCCCCTTCAGTCCTCTTCTTCTTTCACGTGTGAGACCGGCAAGGATGAGCCTGGACACAGTGGTCCCTTTAGCTTCCTTCTGAGACGTCTGGGGCATCCCCCTCCCCGTGGCCCTCCTCCCTACGGACTGGCTTTGAGCCCTTCTCTCCACTGTGGGTGTGGTCTTCAATACCTGGGGTGACTCACTGATGTCACAGGGTCCCTCTGGGGGAGGCCCCATCATCACTGGGAGGTTGACTGACCCTGAATTACTGAAGCCAGAATACTGGCAGTTGGGTTCCGCTGGTCTAGTTTCCTTGGCATCTGCCTCCAGATCCTGGTTGTTGAACACCCGAAATGCTGACTCCACCCCAGGAAGAAGGTGTAGTGCGCCCTATCTCCAACTTCTGTAATTTTCTCCTAATGTCTGGGGCGCTCTGGGAAGTGAAATGGGACTTAAGAATGGCCTACCCTTCCACTGACTCCAGGTTCACCTCGTGTACCCACAAAGGCACTCCCTTAGGCATTCCAGGAAAGCCAAGGGGGTTTCCTTCAGTCCCTGGATGACTCCCTGAACCCTACTCCAATTTAAGGGTTTCTTCCCAGCCAACTGAATGCTCTTAAGAATCAAATCCCTGAAATGTGTGAGGTGCTGCTGACCATTTTCCACTTACTGGTCCCACCAAGGGTCCATGTAGGGAATGGCCTGGATTCAAGGCTGGTATAGAACCTGTCCTGCGTTATCTTGCTTGGTCTTATCAGCTTCTTCAGTTGCATTAGTTATAATCAGTGTCTTTTCTTCCACAGAGAATACGATGTTCAGGAGGGTTTGGACATCCACCCAAGTGTGGAAAGGAGTGTGGAATATTCCCCAGACTAAATTAAGGACCCCCTTGGTATCTTCTTTCAAACCCTTGGATTGATCCTTCCAGTTACACAGATCTGAGGAAGATAAGGGTACATGCAGTGGTCAGTCTGCCCTCTCCATTAAGGACCTCGGAAAGGGGGAATAGCCTATTGCTTCCAGGGGGCTGGTACTGAATGCCGCTATGGGTGTGAACTGGACTAGTCCCCAAGGGAGGCATGCTGAGAGATGGAGGTGGGAGAGTCGGGGAGGTGGCAAGGGCACCAGGTAGGGTGGTTGTGAATTAGAGGGCGTAGAAGGTGTCAGGGAACCAGGTCAGGTAGGGGTAGATGACTCAGGAGTCTCGGGTGAACTGTCAGAAGGGGGAGAAGCTACCCTTGGCAGAGAGAGGAAGTCAAGAGAATATTCAGGGGCTTCCCTGGTGGCGCAGTGGTTGAGAGTCCGCCTGCCCATGCAGGGGACACGGGTTCGTGCCCCGGTCCAGGAGGATCCCACATGCCGCGGAGCGGCTGGGCCCGCGAGGCATGGCTGCTGAGCCTGCGCATCCGGAGCCTGTGCTCCGCAATGGGAGAGGCCACGGCAGTGAGAGGCCCGCGTACCGCAAAAAAAAAAAAAAAAAAAAATCTTCAGGCTGAGATTCCAGTACCAGGAGAGAGAGACATTAGAGATAATGTTGCATTTCTCACGGAGGCCCTTGTTTTTGCAAAGCACCATGAAAAATTGGACATAGGGGATCTCATCCCATATTTTTCAAATGCTGGCAACAGAGGTCCAATTGAAAAATGGTATTATAATTTAGAAAGCCATTAGTTGGCCAACTTTCTCCATCCACCAGTTTATACTGGGGCCATGTGTTGCAAAAGAAAAGAAGCTGTTAGTGGGCGGTAATTTCTAGTTATGGAGGATGCACCCTAGTGGCGATTTCGCTGGGATAGAGGCTTGGTTACCCCTACTGGGGAGTCCTTATTTCTAGTCTGTTTCCAACTTCCCAGTGGCCTCCTTCTAGGGTTGGTGGCGATGCAGATCCCACAAGATTAGCCCACACCAGGTGATCTAGGTGCTCTGAAACGTGAACCAATCTTTGTGGGGTATGGGAGGGGAGATGCTGTCTAAGAGGGCCTTAGTTATAAGGTCCCCCCTCTCTGTCTCTCTCTTTTTTTTTTTGGCTGCATTGGGTCTTCATTGCTGCCCGCGGGCTTTCTCTAGTTGTGGCGAGTGGGGGCTTCGTTACAGTGCACGAGCTTCTCATTGTGGTGGCTTCTCTTGTGGAGCATGGGCTGTAGGTGCACGGGCTTCAGTAGTTGTGGCTTGTGGGCTCTAGAGTGCAGGCTCAGTAGTTGTGGCACACGGGCTTAGTTGCTCTGCGGCATGTGGGATCTTCTCAGACCAGGGCTTGAACCCGTGTCCCCTGCACTGGCAGGCAGATTCTTAACCACTGTGCCACCAGGGAAGTCCCAGATCCCCTCTTAAGTCAGCAATGAGACATTCCCAGACCTACTGTGGGGCTGTAGGAGATACCTGATATAGGTGGGTGCTTTCAGCAAGCAGTCCCTGGAGATAGGGTGAAGGTGGAGTGGGAAATAAGGGTTCTCTAGCCAAATAAATTACCCAGAGAGCCTCTCCAGCATTCCAGGAGACTGTTCAAAGAGGGCTTGTCCATGCTTGGTTACAGGTGATCGAGCAGGGAGGCCAAATACTCATTTGGCATGTGTCCAGTTCTCTATACAACCAGCTACAAGGACCCAAGGACTTCGGATGATTTGGGGGTCCTCTTCTTTCCCCAGCCAGGCAAAGCGATTTTCCTGAAACCTGACAAAAATAATATTTTTAAAGGGTTCATGTCTGAGGAGGGATCCCAAGAGATCTGTGATGGACAGTAGTGGGGAGAGATCTACCTGACAGAGACAGGTACCCTGCCCTGGGATGGCAAATTGGGGTAAGACAGACCAACACAAAAGATGTGCTCTTGGGTATTTTACTGTATCCTAAAGGATCCAGGGAACACAGCAGGGACTGGGCGGCTTGGGCGTTTTACAGTGTGGCTACTTACACGGACATTTGTTTCCAGTCAGCAGGGTGCCCAGTGCTCATCTACCCTGGTCTGTGACTGACTTATCCTTTCACAGGAGTGTTCCAGTGGTGAGTGCCCTAGTGGCTTTTATGTGCTCGATCCGTGCCCACAGTTGCAGCAAGGATTTCCAAGAGCATTAGGACAGATAAGACCACACAGAACAGACTGAAGCTTCACTTGTATAAAGAACAGAGACTAGGACTTACGATACAGACAGAAAACAAGGCGATGTTCTTACCATGTGGTGGCCTCCAGAGGGCTTCTCGTCCAGTCCAGTCCCCTTGCTTGGAACCAGTCCAACTAGACAGCCTATTGTCCAGTCTCACCCACTACTAGAGGATCGGCTATATTTAGATAACCAGTTGCCCAGTCCAGTCCTCTAGACAGAGGTCTGGCTCTAGCCAGGCCAGGATCCTTTCCTTCAACCAGCCAACCCCTACAACCAATCTTGGCTTTATTGGCTGAAGTAGGGTCAGGGCCCCCTGTGCCAGCTGTCCCCTGGATACTACCCCAATGTGTAGCAAGCATCCTTGCTATAGATATGCAAGGGTGGGGAACCGGTCTTTACCTAGGGAGAACGCTACCTAACCCTTGGCTGCTTTTTGATCTCAGACTGGATTCAGTAGCCCTCACTGGCCCAGAGGTCAAGGATTGGGGCAAACTACCCTGTTATTTAGCCAGCTTTGTCAATCCTAGGTCAGCAAGCAAGTCCTGGCTGAATTACTGGATAGAATGGCAGATCCAAAGCCACCCTCTGGCTGGCTCACTAAAATTTGTTGCAGAATCAAGTCGTATGGACCTCCAAGGAGGGGGGTCCATACAACTTAATTCAGCAACAGAAGCAGTGTACATGTTCAATGCAATCCCTCCAATGTTCAAATGGTATATTTCATGGAAACAGAACAAACAATGCTACCACATGTATGGAACAACAAAGAACTCTGAATAGCCTAAGCCATCCTGAGAAAGATGAGCACTGCTGGAATCATCTCCCTCCCTGACTTCACACTACATTACGAAGCTACAGTAACCAAAACAGTATGGTACTGGCACAAAAACAAACAAACACATGGGCCAGAGGAACAGAATAGAGAGCACAGAAAGAAACCCATTTGTATGTTGTCTGTAAATTCACGAACAAGGAGTTAAGAACACAAAACGGGGAAAAGACAGTCCCCTCAATAAATGTTGCCAAGAAAACTGGACACCATCAACAACACATACAAAACTAACTAAAATCCACAATTTTCCACATCAAGTCCTTCCTCTGCTGGGTCCTCTGAAAACAGACACCCAACCCCCCACCCCCGCCCTTAGCAGTAAGGCACACACAGGAAGCTTCTCCTCCCATTTTTCCTCACCTTTTACTCCCAAGGTGGTGCCTCCTGGTGGTTCCTGAAGACACTGGGTTCAGATCTGTCTGCATGGACTCAGCCAAGTGTTGTCCCAAAGCTGAAACCATGGTGGATCCTGAAGAGACCGAGCTTCTATCAGTGGCACAAGTAGCCAAGTTCCTTCATGAGCCAAGTCCACCAGTGGAACACACATGCACCTCAAGTATCAGAGAGGTGGGCTTGGTGCCGCCTGCTGGCCAGCTGGGAAGTGCAGACCTCAACCTCAGTTCCCTGGAGCCCACGCTCACAACTGGCGAGCCTGCAGAACCACTAAATTTGGAAATTCAAACTGAGATGGAGCCAAATATCCCATGACTTCTCCAAAAATAGTTATAGAATAATAAATTGGAAACCACATGCAATCAAAAGACTGTAGACACAAACTTTACAACTTACACCAAAATTCACTCAAAATTGTCCATAGACATTTAAAATGTAAAACTATAAAAATTATAGGTGAAAACATAGAAGGAAATCTACATAACCTTGGGTTTGGTGATGAATTTTAACACAGAGTCTCAAAAGCCTAAGAAATAATATATATATATATTTTTTTGTATGTGGCACGCGGGCCTCTCACTGCCATGGCCCCTCCCATTGCAGAGCACAGGCTCCGGATGCGCAGGCCCAGCGGCCATGGCCCACGGGCCCAGCCGCTCCGCGCCATGTGGGACCCTCCCGGACTGGGGCACGAACCTGTGTCCCCTTCATAGGCAGGCGGACCCTCAACCACTGCGCCACCAGGGAAGCCCAGAAATAAAATTTTGAACATGGATTTAAAAAATTTTAAACTCTATGAAATATCTTATTCAGAAAACCAAAAGACAAGCTACAAACTGAAAGAAAAATATTTTCAAAATACATAACTGATAAAAGATATGTACTCAAATTACACCAAGGATTCTAGAACAAACCCCATTAAAAATGGGTAAAGACTGGAACAGACACCTGGCCAAGAAGGTATACAGATAGTAAATAACATCATATACCATTAGGGAATTGCAAATTAAAACAACAATGAGATAGCACTGCACACCTATTAGAACTAATAAACTCAGAAAAAAAAAAAACAAAAAAACTACTACTGATTGATGGAGGGTGAGGAAAAACAAGAGCTCTCCTTCACTGCTGGTGAAATGCATATACAGCTACTTTAAAAGACATTTTAGAAGTTTTTTCCAAAGCTCAATAAGGCTCACGTGAGGATCCAACATCGTGCGTCCAGTATTTAGACAACTGCTTTTAAGAACTATGTCCAAATGCAAACAAGGATGTAATTAAGCACAGCAACTCTATTCATAATGGCTATAAACTTAAAGAAACCAGGATGTCCTTCAGTAGAAGAATGCATAAGCAAATTGGGGTACATTCATTTCAAGGGGAGCAGAATATGCCACCCCAAAATATGCCTGTTGGCATAAGGATTACTTTGAGCTGATTTCTTTTTTTTAAAAAAGAAGACACATAAGAATCTCTGAAAATCAAGTCAAGATTGCCCTTTTGTGAAGGAAGTTGACATTTATAAAGGAAGTCTCCATTTGAAAGCTCTCTCTCTCCATACCAAGAATGGAAGGATGAATAAATCTCAAGAAACTCTTATCAGTGGAGAAGGTAAGACTTAAATCTGCACAACAACCATACCCTTCCTTCATTTTTTTATCTTTAGATGAAGATGGTATTTAAGGTGATGGCTTGGGCCATTTCAGGGCGTTACTCAGTTTTCCTGAATATCTCTTATGCATATAGGAGGTACACACGTTATTAAACTTCTGAATGTTTTTCTCCAGTTCATCTGCCTTTCATTTTCATTACTACATGGGGGATCTCAATGAAGAACAAAGAAAGATAGAGGGAAAATTATTTTCCCTCCCATATACATGCAGTGGAATAGCATTCAGAAATATAAAGGAATGAACCATCAACCCATGCAAAAAACATGAGTCTTACACATATATTGCTAAGTGAAAAAATCCAGTCTGAAGTGCTATACACTGTATGGCCCCATTTATGACATTCTGCAACAAGTAAAACAGAGAAATGGTAAACGGGTTATGGGTGGGAGACTGAAATATTCCATATGATACTTCAGTGATGAATACCTGCCACTATGCATTTGTCTAAACCCATAAATTTTTACAGCCCAACAAATAAATCATAATATATTTAATTTTAGTTATTTAGGATATGGGAGTGCCACAGGATGCATTACAGAATTTAACAAAAACTGATTTAGAAATGTATTAAAAAATAACCTCACTGTTGGTGGTGGGACAAAAAGTGCTGACCTCGGTAACTTTGGAAATAAATGGAATCTGTAGAATAAAGGTAACAGTGGACTGTACCTTAACAGTGGACTCTATTTTATGTTTTTGTTTCTTTTTAAAAAAATTTTATTTATTTTTGGCTGTGTTGGGTCTTCGTTGCTGTGCGCGGGCTTTCTCTAGTTGCGGCGAGCAAGGGCTACTCTTTGTTGCAGCGCACGGGCTTCTCATTTCAGTGGCTTCTCTTGTTGCAGAGCATGGCCTCTAGGTGCGCGGGCTTCCGTAGTTGCAGCACGCAGGCTCAGTAGTTGTGGCGCACGGGCTTAGTTGCTCCGCGGCATATGGGATCTTCCCCGACCAGGGATCGAACACGTGTCTCCTGCATTGGCAGGCAGATTCTTAACCACTGCACTACTAGGGAAGTCCCTAGACTCTATTTTATAAAGTTATTTCCCTGGGGGTAGGAGCTAAGAATGCTGAGACCACTGTATTTGTAATCTGGAATGGAGCAAGCGATGAATTCAAAAAATGACAGATGGTGGAAGCCAGGTTTCTCACCATTGGAGTAGGAAGTTACAGATAAGCAAAGGGAGAAGGTTACAATATCCATGTAATAATGGATCAGGTTGGTGGCATTTATGTAAACTCATCTTTAGCTTAACATGGATACAAACAGTTCCATATAGAAATGTTTATAGATCTTCCCTGATGGCGCAGTGGTTAAGAATCTGCCTGCCAATGCAGGGGACACAGGTTCGAGCCCTGGTCCAGGAAGATCCCACATGCTGTGGAGCAGCTAAGCCCATGCACCACAACTACTGAGCCTATGCTCTAGAGCCCGTGAGCCATAACTACTGAGCCCGCGTGTCGCAACTACTGAAGCCCACGTACTCTAGAGCTCGTGCTCTGCAACAAGAGAAGCCACCGCAATGAGAAGCCTGTGCACCGCAATGAAGAGTAGCCCCCGCTCGCCGCAACTAGAGAAAGCCCGCGTGCAGCAATGAAGACCCAATGCAGCCAAAAATAAATTTTAAAAAAATGTTTATAATTAGGTGTACACGCATAAGTTGGAATACATATTTCAGTGCATTATCAGCTGGGTACATTTAGCTTCCAAATGTAAGTGTTTTTTTTTTTTTTAATGGGAGATCTTTTGTTGTTGTTAAATATTTACTTATTTTGGCTGTGCCGGGTCTTAGTTGCGGCACATGGGGTTGAGGACTTCCTAGTTGTGGCACGCATGTGGGATCTAGTTCCCCGACCAGGGATCGAACCCGGGCCCCCTGCATTGGGAGTGCAGAGTCTTACCCACTGGACCACCAGGGAAGTCCCCAAAGGTAAGTTTTTTAATACCATCCTCTAATAAAAGGAATCAGGGCTCTTTGAAGAAATGGCTGCTACTAGGACTGAGAGACTAAATATATGAGCCAGGATAATGTTGAATTATCAGAAAGTAAAGAAGTACCAAGAAAAAAAAAACCTACAAGATGTTTTCATTTGACATAATTCCACAAGACAATGAAAAAAGCTCTCAATATCCAAAGCAAGAATGAATTAAGCACCCAAATACTGTAATGATGAATTATAACCACAAGTATAAAATAACTATTCAGGTGCCCACACTAGTAAAATAAATGATTACAAACATTCTTATGAATTGGGTTGAATAGAAATGTCCTATGCAGAAGAATTCCAAATAACTGATGTAGACACACAGCCATCCATCAAGGAGGTAACCCAACCCTCTTCTGAAGTGTGGGTTCTTCCTAAATAAGACATACAGTATGGACACGGGAAAAATAACTTCACAGGGAAAACTGATAAACACGACCTCAGCCATGTGACCAAAGTTAACATGAACGGTGATAAGTTGCCTTGAGAGCCTGCTCCCTTGACATAAAATGATGAGAATGCACTTGACCTCTCTGACCTAACTTCCTCAAAACGCATAAACCCAATCTAATCATGAGAAAAACACCAAGTAAATCCCAATGCGGAACAGTCTACAAAATACCTGACTAGTCCTCCTCAACCCTGTCGAGGGCATAGAAACAAGGATAGTCTGAGAAACTGTCAAAACCCAGAAGAGCCTGAACAGACATGATGACTATATGTCATGTGGTGCTCTGGATGGGATCTGGAACAGAAAAAGGTAGAACAAAGGGAACCAGAATAAAATATGGACTTCAGTTAATAAAAAGGTATTAATATGTGTTCATTAATTGTGACAGGTCTGTAGGAAGCTAAAAGGGAGGGAAAATTAAAAGTCAAATAAGAAAAAAACCTATTGTATCAAACTGGAAATATAGAGGAAATGGGTGATTTTGTAATAAAAACACATTAACAAAATGATTCTAAAATTAGGAAAATACAAACATACCAATTAGCCACCCAGGGACCTCTTTCCCCTGCTGGTTCTCCTCTCATTTTGCTGGAGTTTCCCTCTCCTGGACAGGGAAGGAACAGGAACAGAGATGTCCAGCAGCTCCCCTACAATCTGACCCCACCCAGTGTCTTCACCTCCACCCACCATGACGCCCTGAATGAGAACACCCTGCGAGAGGGAGTCTCAGGGATTACTGATTCTGATGTGTAAGCTAGGACTTTTCTGATTCCAAGGACACACTTACTGATGTAAAAATAATAAATTTCTTAATGATAGAAATATGTATTTCTACTTGCAAGAGGCAGTTATGGCAGTGGTTTTGGGCCTGGTGGGACAGGGGCTCACACTCTCATAGTGTGACCTGGTCCCTTTGTCCTACTAAGTGACTCTGTGGTGGCCCCATCCACAGGTACAGTCTCTATCTCTGCATCAGGGGCCTCCAGCAACTCCAGGCTGACGCCCACTCATGTCCATTCTACTGGGAAGGGTCTCTCCTTCTTTAGGTTTCATGAAAAGTCACAGCTTTAAAGACCTTTGCTCAGCTTGGGTCACATTCTCATCCTTGAACAAGAGGATGGAACATGGGACTGGCTAGACATGGACCATATACCCATTTTTGAGGTGAGTGGAACATGGGATCAACCCTCTGCAAAAGTGTGGACTGGAAGCAGGTGGGATGTAATTCCCAAAAGCTGAGATGCTGAGAATAGATGCTGGGTTGGGGGAAGCAGCAGATTCCACATCACCGACAGCCCACTGCACAGCACAGAATCTGAAGTCCAAGGAGGGAAATGGTTCACTTAGGGTCAGGGGCTGTGGCCACCCTTCCAGTGCTCTTGCTGTCCTCCCAGGATGGCAAGAAGCTCTCCCACTTGCTGAAAAAGCAACTTTGTTGTTGTTGGGAAACTCAGGGCTCCTGCCTTGGGCATCGGGTCCACACATCTCAGAGATTGGTCAAGAATAGCCTGTGTGTCCTCGGAAGGCACAGAGATCTCATTCCTGTCCCTGGGAGGTGGAAGCCCAGGCATCATGCCCCATGTTCACATTAATCACCCACCCATGAAGAACAAATTTGCTCATTTTCCAGTCTCTTCTCTCTGCAAAAAGTAGAGAAATTATTACTCAATGAAACAGTGGGAATCTCAAGGATTATTTTATACCACGCTAACACAGTTGGTGGCTTTCCAGAGACCACAGGGTATGGGACAGGGATGCACATATCTCCCCAACAATATGGCCTCAATGTGAAACTGTCTGAGTCCCAGATGCTTCAATACCTTTTTTTTTTTTTAACATCTCTATTGGAGTATAATTGCTTTACAATGGTGTGTTACTTTCTGCTGTATAACAAAGTGAATCAGCTCTACATATACATATATCCCCATATCTCCTCCCTCTTGCGTCTCCTTCCAACCCTCCCTATCCCGCCCCTCTAGGTGGTGCTTCAATACCTTTGATTCTCAATGGATATGAATGTCAATCTTGGTTACAACCAGAAGGTTGAAGGATTGCAGGGCCACAGTCTGTGTATGGTTGTCATGACCAGGGCCACACTCAATGTTTGGAGGGTTATTACCTCTCTTGGCAGGCTAAGAGGCAATGAGGGAGGAGGCATTTGTTTCAACCACATGGATACTGGGAAGTGAAACATCCCAAGGAACTGTCTAGGATAACCAGGTAGCTGTTCAATTACCCAGCAGCACAACTGGCTCAGTAATTGGCCACAGGGGCTTGAGGGGCAAAGGCTGACCTGAGCTGGAGGACCACGGATGCCTCCCTGGATGCTCAGAGGCCAAGGGCTGTTCGGAGACTTGACTGTTTTTACACCCATGCAGATGGAACAGAGGATCCATCCAGTCCCAGGAGGGCCCCACCAGCCCTCAACAAGGTAGCACCGATGGGCCGGCAGCTTGATGCACCCAGTCCTGTATAAATCCACACATGTCTAGAGAGTACCTTGCATGTCAGGGCTGCGCTGGACTGTGGCTGCTCAGACAGAGTGGGGCCAGCATCCCTTCCCAGGTGGGAGGGTAGAGGGAAACCCTGCATGACCTCTGAGACCCTAAGTACCCTTGACTGAGCTGAGTTCAATTTGAATCAGTTGAGTGACCAGAGCAGACATTACATTCATCTATCAGGGCCCAGGGCTGGAGGGGCAGAAAAACAATGGCCTAGCTCAACCTTGATCCTCACCCTGACACTGATCCCAATCCTAAACTCGGACCCTGACCCTAAACCCTGACCTAACCTTAACCCTAGCGCATACCCTAAGCCTAACCCATACCCATACCCGTATCCTACCTGTATCCCAATCCTCACCCATACCCTAACAAAATGAGACCAAAACCATAAACCTTAATAAAGAAAACTACAACCGTGACCAAAACCATAAAGTATTCATTAACCATACATATGTCATAACCATAAACCATAACCCAGCCCCAGCCCCCGCAAGTCTCAGCCCTAACACTAACCCTCCAAACCACTAACACCAAGCCAAATCTAACCACATCATACAAATACATCATAAAAAAGAAAACTACATCAGTATAACTTAGGAACGTAAGAATCCTCCACAAAATAAGAGCAACATGAAAGCAAAAGAATATTAAACGGATGATGCCATAAGCGTCTCTACACCAGAAATTTCAGCTTGTTCAACATATTAAAGCTAAGCAACGTATTTAAACCACAATAAAGGTGTGAAGTAAAAACACATGATCAGGGCTTCCCTGGTGGTGCAGTGGTTGACAGTCTGCCTGCTGATGCAGGGGACACGGGTTCGTGCCCAGGTCTGGGAAGATCCCACATGCCGCGGAGTGGCTGGGCCCGTGAGCCATGGCCGCTGAGCCTGCGCGTCCGGAGCCTGTGCTCCGCAACGGGAGAGGCCACAACAGTGAGAGGCCCGCGTACCGCAAGAACAAACAAAAAAACAGAAAACCCCCCACATGATCCTATCAATTATTGCAGAAAAAGCTATAATCAAAATCCAGTGCTATTTCATGATACAAACACTCAAAAGTAGGAATAACAACCTAAATGTCCATTGATAGAGGAATGGATAAAGAAGATGCGTACATATAAACAATGGGATATTACCCACCTGTAAAAGAGAACGAAATAATGCCATTTGCAGCCACATGGATGGACCAAGAGATTGTCATACTGAGTGAAGTAAGTCAGAGAAGGACAAACATTGTATGATATCGCTTATATGTGGAATCCAAAAAAATGGTACAAATGAACTTATTTACAAAACAGAAATAGAGTCACAGATGTATTGGTATATAGATAACAATCTTAAGGTTACCAGGGGGGAAAAGAGGGGGAAGGATAAATTGGGAGATTGGGATTGACATATACACACTACTATATATAAAACAGATAACTAATAAGGACCTACTGTAGAGCACAGGGAACTCTACTCAATACTCAGTAATGACCTACATGTGAAAAGAATCTAAAAAAGAGTGAATATATGTATATGTATAACTGATTCACTTTGCTGTACAGCAGAAAGTAACAACATTGAAAATCAACTATACTCCAATAAAGTTTTTTTTAAAAAGTAGTAATAAAAGGATATTTGTTCAGTATGGAAAAGAGTAGTACACAAAGCCACAGAAAACATCATACTCAATGTTAAAGCCTGAAAGATTTACTCCTGAAATCAGGAACAAGGCCAGGAAGCTGGCCTTCACTGCTGTTACTCAATAGTGTACTGGAAGTTCTAACCAGAGTCTCGAGGTAAGAAATAAAAGGCATCCATGTGTGAATGGAAAAATTAAAGCTGTGTCTATTCACAGAACACAGATCACATCTTGTATATAAAACTTCCTATATCAACAAAAAATTATTTGAGCTATCAACTAATTCAGCAAAATTATAGGACAAATTATCAATTCATGAAAATCTATCTTATATGTGTACACTAGCAATAAGTAATCTAAAAAACAATTTATGAAAACAAGTCCATTTTAAATAACGTCAACGTTAATATTTAGGAATATACGTGATCAAGCTATGACTTGTTTTTATGTATGTAAAGTTGTTTGTATGTTCGAAATTACTGGGAAGTAAGTTACTTTTCAAAACGTCCTGTCATTACCATGCCAGAAGAGCAGAGAAAACATCAAACTTCCATATAGAGGCCAAGCCTTACCCAGATCCAGTTCACCCAAAGTCCACATGGAATTTACAGGCACTGTGGGAAGATTAGATTAGGAGCCACTATGTCTTTGGTGTTGTGGATGATCTGGATGCAATAGAAACAGTGGGATTTTCAAGTTCCAATTTTCTACATCATCACACCAAAAAAACTATTAGAACTAATACATGAATTCAGTAAAGTTACAAAATCAATACACACACGTCAATTGCATTTCTAAACACTAGTAATGAACCATCAGAAAGAGAAAGAAAACAACCCTATTACAATTGCATCAAAAAGAACAAAATACCTAGGAATAAATTTAACCAAGGACTTGAAAGACCTACACACTGAAAACTTTAAGACATCGATGAAGAAATTGAAAAAGACATAAATAAATGGAAAGATATCCCCTTCTCAAGGAATGGAAGAATTAATACTGTTAAAATTTCCATTCTGCCCAAAGCAACGTACACAGTGAATGCCATCCCTACCAAATTTCCAATGGTATTTTTCACAGAAATAAAACAAATCATCCTAACAGGGCTTCCCTGGTGGCGCAGTGGTTGAGAGTCCGTCCGCCTGCCGATGCAGGGGACACGGGTTCGTGCCCCGGTCCGGGAAGATCCCACATGCCGCGGAGCGGCTGGGCCCGTGAGCCATGGCCGCTGAGCCTGCGCGTCCGGAGCCTGTGCTCCGCAACGGGAGAGGCCACAACAGTGAGAGGCCCGCGTACCGGAAAAAAAAAAAAAAAATCATCCTAACATTTGTGTGGAACCATAAAGGACCCCAAATAGCCAAAGCGACCCTGAGAAAGGAGAACAGGCTGCAGGCATTTGCTCCCTGACTTCACACTATATTGTGAAGCTACAGTGGCCAAAAAAGTGTGGAACTGGCACAAAAACAGGCGCAGGGACCAGAGGAACAGAACAGAACCCAGAATTAACCCCACACAGATGGGGTCAGTTACTTTGCGACAAAGGGGCCAAGGACACACCAAGGGGAACGACAGTCCCCACAATAAGCAGTGCTGGGAAAAATGGACACCACATAACTCATGCCGGTTACACTGCACACAAAACTGACTAAAGGGGCTTCCCTGGTGGTGCAGTGGTTGAGAGTCCGCCTGCCGACGCAGGGGACACGGGTTCGTGCCCCGGTCCGGGAAGATCCCACATGCCGCGGAGCAGCTGCGCCCGTGAGCCATGGCCGCTGAGCCTGCGCGTCCGGAGCCTGTTCTCTGCAGAGGGGGAGGCCACAACAGTGAGAGGCCCGCGTACAGCAAAAAAAACCCCAAAACCAACCAAACAAAAACAAACAAACAAAAAACCTGACATAAAACGCAGTTTTCCACGTTAAGCCCTTCCTGGGGGGCGTGAAGACGGACACCTCTCCCTCAGCAGTCAGTCACACACACAGGAAGCTTCTCCTCACTTCTCCTCACCTTTTCCTCCTGGCGTCTCCTGGGTCGTCAGGAAACGCAGCTCCTGTCAGCATGGACACAGCCCCGTGTTGTCCTGAAGCCCAAGCCCCGGCGAGTCTAAAGGAGACTCAGCTCCTGTCAGCAGAGACGCTGACCCGGCCACCCCTGCACAAGCTCTGGCGGCGCCTGAGACAAACTTCTGTCAGCTGCGCGCAGAGCCAAGACCGGTGGTAGGCGCGTGCGCCGTGAGTCAGAGAGGCGGGCTCAGTCTCCTCTGTGGTCAGTGCGGGACAGGCAGGCTGCACCTGACTCACAGTTCACTGGAGACAGCGCACCCTGCTGGTAGAACGGCTGAACCCACTAAACTGCAGAAATTCAAACTGAAATGGAGACAGTGTCCTAAAACTTTTCTAAAAATAGTTAAGGAACAATTCATTGGACACCATATGGCATGAAATGACGCAAACTTCACAACTTACACCAAATTCATTCAAAATTATTCATAGACAAACTTAAAATGCAAAACTATTCAAAATTATAGAAGAAAACAGAAGAAAATCAATAGGAGCTTGGGTTTGGTCATGTAGATCATGAGCTCTGAGTTTTAACACACAACACAAAAAGGCAATCCACAAAGAAAAATAAGGACCTCTGTCATCACAAAGCTACCTCACACCTCAGGAATCACAACAGACGATTCCCAGAATGAACTGATTTGCAGGAGGCAGCATGCCTGCAGCCCTCAGCCCTCAGCCCCCAGGTGGTACACCTTTCATAGGAGAGATTTATTTCCTGCTTTCCAGGAGACACAGAGAATATGCAAAGTGTCTCTCTTGCATGGGTCTTTTCTTAAGTAACATTAATTCAAAAGAATTAATATGTCATTAAGACATATTTAGAAGTGACCTGCTCTGGGCCCTAACAATATATACATACATACATACATATAAGAAAAAGAGAGACAGAGAAACAGAGAGAGAGAGAGGCACTGACAGACAGAGAAAGAGAATGAACGCAAGGGAGAGGGATTGAGTAGAAGTCACAGACTTTTCATAAATCAGTCTTCATGTTAGAACCCAGTCACAATGTCCATGCACCCTGGAGGGGTGGGGATTACACAAGGACGTTTGACCAGGAGGCACCACAGAGGCTGAGATGAGACACTGGTTCCTGAATCTAAACATAACAGGAGGGCTTCCCTGGTGGTGCAGTGGTTAAGAATCCTCCTGCCAATGCAGGGGACGCCGGTTTGATCCCTGGTCCGGGAAGATCCCACATGCCGTGAAGCAACTAAGCCCGTGTGCCACAACTACTGAACCTGCACTCTAGAGCCCATGAGCCACAACTACTGAGCCTGCATGCTGCAATTACTGAAGCCCACACGCCTAGAGCCTGTGCTCCGCAACGAGAAGCCACCACGATGAGAAGCCCGCGCACCACAATGAAGAGTAGCCTCTGCTCACCACAACTAGAGAAAGCTGGCGCACAGCAACGAAGACCCAACGCAGACAAAAATAATAAATAAATTAATTTAAAAAAAACAGGAGAACCTGGAAGGTTGTATGCCAAAGGGGACGATGTCTGAATTTTATTTAATTTCAACCCTCCCACGGTGGAGGAGGGATGGGAAACAGGCAGGAAGGGGAGTGACTTTCCCTAGATCCCAGAGCAGACCCAGGCCTGTTTCAGTTGTATTCTGTGCTACGCCAGCCCTTTACGTAATCCTTCCTTTGCTAAGTCTCTGCATGAGCTACATGTGATACCAGCCCAGGGGTTTTACAGGCACTGTAGGTGTTTATAGTTCTATACACGTGATGGACTCCCTAGGAAGTAGCTGCTAGAATGACCTCCACTGTGCAGGTGGAAGATTGGGGAGTTCCTGAGAGGCACATGGCTTGTCAGGGCCACATCACTGGGGAGGAGGAGGAGCCAGGTCTGAAAGCAGCTGTGTCCTCAGCTGGGGTCCTGGCTGCACCCTGGCCTCCCCAGGGCTGTGGAGTGGGCTGTGTTGGTGTCACTGTGCATGGACATGGCATGGGGGGCCGGTGAGCACTCAGCAGCCCAGAGGTGCCCTTGGGGAGCTCTGTGTAAGGAAGAAATCTGGGTAAAGGGACCCTAGGAAGCGACCTCACTTCCCTGGCAATAGAGCCCAACACAACTTGGAACCTGAGTAACTAGGCACCCACATTCTAGAGAAGCCCCTACCCGGTTCACTTGGTTGGAGATGCTCAAACAGATATGTTCTGCTGCGTCCCAATATCCTGACGACATGGTCTCAGGAAAGTCCACAGTGAGAGCCTTTACTGACGCTCCAGACATTAGGTCAGGTCTCACCCCAGATGCCTTTGGCCATTTGCCCAGAGGGACCCAAAGGTAACAAACGGAGGCCCAGGGCAGGCCAGCCTAGGCCAGGCCACCACTCTGATCCCACCCAGGTAGCCCTGTGTCCCCTCCCTGTATGTGTGGAGGTGGGGGATTTACGTGGGGTAGGTCTGCCTCAGCAAGAGCAGGCTGGTGAGGGGTCAGAAGCCTGGTGGGCCGGTCATGTCCACACCCCAGGTTAAAGCTGGCTGGGTAGGATGTGGAGAGCTGGGGCAGCGCCCTTCTGCCCAAAATTTACCCCAAGCCCTCCAAATGTATCTCTTTCCTCCTGGGTGGATATCTGAGCGGACACATGTCTGTGCCTGATCGGGGAGCAGAGGTCAAGTGGGCAGAAGAATCAGTGATTATGGCTGGACAGGGCTCTGATACCTCTGGGCTGGGCCGGGCCGGGCCGGCTGCTGGTCACTGTCATTGCAGAGCCCCACTCTGGAGATAAGCGAGGACTGGTCGACGGGGACTCCCAATCCATCTCCCCAAGAGAGGGGGCCGTGTGCCACACTGCCAACGAGGGCCAACACAGGCTCCCATTGAGTGTGGCCATGGAGGGTTCTCCAGAACCAGGACCCAGAGATGAAGGCCTCCTGCCCAGACACCACCGAGGCCACTCCCCCGGGTCCTGTCCCCGGCTTACATGCAGCTCAGCATATCTGGCTCTGACCTGGAGCACCGTGTCAACCTTCGCCTGAGTCAGCTGGAGGCCCTAGAGCCTCTCACTGTGGCAGAGCGCAAAGCAGAGAAGGGGTGGGTGCGTGTGAGTGTGTGGGGAGGGGTGAGTGCTGGGCCACACAGGGAGGAGTCCCTAGAGGCTGGTGTTCGGCCAGGAGCAAAGACTGGCATCAGACCACCCATCTGGTGGACTGCAGTCAAAGAAGACATCCTGCTATGGGTTCCTGGGCTGGGACTTCTCTGGAAGGCTCTGGGAAGATTTCTGTCCTTGGAAAGGCTCGTGAAAAGGCAGGCCTGTGGGTAATCTTTTCTTTTCTCACAGCTCCAGCAGGAGACCCAGAGCCAGATGAGGATCCACCACCTGGGCAGGGAGAACCTGCAGCTGCTTTTGCAGGAGTCCCAGATCCAGATGTTAATTTACCACCCCTGCAGGGAGAACCTGCAGGAGACCCAGCGCCATTTCCGAAATCACCAGCCCCATGGGCAGAGCCAGATCTGCAACCACCATCACTGTCAGCTCCAGATTTATACCATCAACCCTCCCCCGACCTGAAATTTACTTTACTTCCCCTGTCGTTGTTTGTGTTTGGGTGTTTTGTAATTTTATTGTTTTCTTTCACATTATTTATGACACCCTGTACTTTAAGTGTTTTAAGTGTAAAATAATAAAATTTAAACTTTTTAAATTTTAAACTGTGCGATTCAGGGGCATTAAGTACATTCACAATCCTGTGCAACCACTACCACTGTCTAGTTCCAGACTGTTTCATTCCCCAAAATAAAATCCTGTATCCAACGCATGCACTCCCCATTCTTCCCTCCTCCACCCTCTCACAACCCCTAATCCTCTTTATTTCTCTGTTTCTTTACCTATTCTGGATGGTTCCTATAAATGAAATCATACAAAAGGTGGCTTTTGGTGTCTGCCCACATATTTTAAGAGGGGACTGGTGAATTTTTGTTTTTATTTGAAATAGCATTTTTGTTATTTGAAAGGGAAGTCTAGATGGATTAAAGATGAGATGTACAAGATTTTAGTACATATGTGCATAATTTCGGGGTAGACACTGCTGTTCTAAGTGTGGCACCGGAGCCAGAAGACAGAAGGGAAATGCTCAGCTTCTCATGTGGCAAAAGCAAACCAACCAACCGACCAAGAAAGACGCCTGGAAAGACGAATCACAAACTGGAAAAGCATCCCCATGATCCAAGCCCAGAGAAAGGTTGAACATCCCTGTAGTCCAAAAATCTCTCAAAAATCAATGTTCTAAAAAGAAACAGAGCAAACACACATAATTTCAACAAGAGGCCATGCATACGGCCAATATATCTTAGAGATGCTTGACCACGCAGGTCAGGACACACGCAAACATAAATTCTATGGAGAGAGTGTTGGTCACCATCACACTGGCAGGTTTTTAGTCTGGTGACCACCAGCCCTGGTGACAACGTGGGGAAGCAAAGGCCCCAGCAGATCCCCTAGAGGGAAGAGTGAATGCACAGTCCTCTAGGGGAGAACAGTGTGCAAGACCCATCAAAGTTCCACAGGTATATCCCTTTATTACCAGTGCTAATCCTTAGAGTTGATCCCACTGAAATTCCTGCACAACTTTTCAAAGATGGCTTTTCAAGAGTATTCATCACAGCACTGGTTGAAATAGTGGGGAATTGTAAGCAACACTAATGTTCATGGAGGGGGAAATGATCTATCAGTTCTGGTCCACATAGATGAATGAATGCTGTGCAGTTGGGGAAAGTGGGTGCAGGGTCTCTACCTGATGACAGAGGAGAGAGGGGACTTCAGGGTTCTTTATGTGGGATGCACGTAGACCAACCGTCTGCATCCAGGATCCCATCTGTAAGACTACATACATCTGAAATCAACGTAGATGTAAATGAATCTGCTTTTGTGAGAGTGAGAGAGACAGAGATAGAGACAGAATGAGACAGAGCCTGAGAGATATGCACCAAACCACTCATGACAGTCACCTCTGGGGGTGGGATTTGCAAATATCTTCTCCTTAGGTGATATTTCAATTTCTTATAATGTGTGTGTATTACCTTTATAATTCCAAAAAGATTATAATCATATGTGCTCCATTCATCACTCATCTATGTAGTAATTAAATTACATTATTTCATTTTTATTTTTAAAAGATTTACTACAAGGATAATAAACATTTATGAGAGTAAAATAATGAATTCTAAAGGAATTAAGAATCAAGTAAAGAACAAAATCTTTTGGTGACTCAGTTTCAGGCCAGCTAGGTGGCAGGACATGGCAGGGTGGGGGCAAGTTTCTCCAGGAGGTTATGTATGTTCTGAATCAGCATCCACTGGAGGTGAGGAAGGAAGTACAAGACCTGTACACTGAAAACTACAATAGGTTGTTGAAACAAATTAAGAAAGACCTAGGGACTTCCCTGGTGCCGCAGAGGTTAAGAATCCACCTGCCAATGCAGGCGACACAGGTTCGAGCCCTGGTCCGGGAAGATCCCACATGCTGCGGAGCAACGAAGCCCGTGCGCCACAACTACTCAGCCTGCGCTCTAGAGCCCACGAGTCACAACTACTGAGCCTGCCTAGGGCCCATGCTCTGCAACAAGAGAAGCCTCCACAATGAGAAGCCCGCACACTGCAACGAAGAGTAGCCCCCGCTCACCACAACTAAAGAAAGCCCGCATGCAGAAACAAAGACCCAACACAGCCAAAAATAAATAAAATTTTTAAAAAAGATCTAAATTAATGCAAAATAATCCCATATTCATGGATCAGTAGGCTTAAGTCTATTAAGATGGCAATACTCCATAAATAGACCAAAAGATTCAAAGAATCCCTACCAAATTCCCAGGTTGTGTTTTGCAGAAATTGACAATCTAAAATTCATGTGGAAAATGTAACGGACTCAGAATAGATCAAGGAATCTTGAAAAAGAAGAACAAAGTTGGAGGTATGGAGAGCCAGGCGGAACCCTATGGTTGGTATAAAAACAGTTTAAGCTGAAGATACGTGAGATTCAACACATGCAAGAAAAAAGCCTTCTTGAAACTCCCCTTATCGGAATAAAAGCTGAAACTTCTTAGAATGACCATGGCCATAAATTCCCTCTTCAGAGTGGCTTCTCTTCCCAAAAGAGAGACCAAGAGTAAACCTACCATAAATCCTTCTGCAGGGTGTTTTATGACCC